GAGGACGAGGAGGAGGAAGAGGACGAGGAGGAAGAGGATGAGGAGTAGCTTAGCTTGTGGTGCGTCTCGAGTTTGCGTTCATGCGGTTGATGTTGAATGCGTGCAGAAGGGTGCAATCTTCCGGACTTATCTCCACCATGTTTAAGTATACCTGGACGATGGATGGATCTCTACATTTCGCGCAACGCTTGTTTTGGTGACCAAATACAAACTAACCTGTATCTTTCGGCTTCTGGCATTAAAGTGCTGCTGCTCGCCAGACATTGCAGCTACTGACGATCTGACAATACTCTGCACATTTACAAGCAGGGCAGGAACAAGTGAGAAATTCGTAACGTTCGATCGTCGCAATCCTCCGCATCCCGTCATCGAGTCACATGTGAGGTTATACAAGTGCATGCAAGGCCTGAGAGGGTGGCTAGACTTAATGTACGCATGTCGCAATGAGTACAGAGACGTTACTCATTGCGACATGGTCAACATGGCATGTAACGAGTCAATCACAGCAAAGCGAGCGTATGAATCAATGCACCATATCATGCCAAATGACTTCCTATAGTTTCTATAGTCTCCGTTGGATGCAATGGTATTGTCGTCTTGTCGGTAGCTACTGTCATTCGGGAGCAGTCGCCGTTGGAACCCAAGGGCTGAGAGGGTCAAGCTCAAAATTCATTGCGTTCCGTCGCCACGATAGGCACCGCACAAACTGAACGGATTATACATTCGGATGTTTAAATAACACTACATTGATGTTCGCGCAAGATGGCCGACACTTGAAACAGTTATACAATTGATATGTGTTAGACAAGCAGAGCTGGTCACATCGCACTCCACCCTCATACACGAACGTGAGCAGAGTCGTGAGGCGGCTGGGCATCCAGGATCTGGTCAGCACATATGTCCGATGATCACAATGCTGTGATACTCACCGTCGACTTGATGTCGAGCACCTGGGCGAGAGAGTCGAACTCGCCGGTCGTGGGGACGGCCGCACCAGTGCAGACTGCGTGGTCAATGAGCTGAAGTACCCGACAATAAGAGACACGACACGCACTGTCAATGATCCGCTGCTCGGAGAGGTGCAGCTTGGACGCGATCTCCGAGTACGAAATGCCTGATCGATCGTCGACGCCGACGGTTAGTGCGTCCGCAATAGCGCGAGTCCTATTGGACGACACCTTTCTTGTCCTTGGCGGCGGCGAGCGCAGTGCATTGCGGGTTGGGAGCCATGTTCGTCGAGCACGGCAGTGTACAGAGATGCTATGGGATTCAGACAAGTCCGAGTCGGGTGGTGGTGGAAGTATGCGGCAGAGAATCGATGGGGAGAGAGCAGGCCCTTTTATATGCCCCCGATGCTCCGTGGCTCGCCGTAGAGTTCGCCAAATTGGTCATTCGGATGCATATACAGATCAATATCGGGTGTCCTATCGGTTGAACGTTCTGAGGTCCGTCAGCCCAAGTAGCCCAGCTGCTGGTTTGATTTTTGATGCGGGAGATGGGGTTCGTGACATTGCCTTCGAGGCGCGTCCACCAAGTTGCTGTGTGCGGTTTGCAAATATCTGATACACGAGGCGAGAGCAAGCACCCGGATAGCCCAAGCTTCCCGGACACGGAGCTTGGCTTGCAACCCGGGCGACAGAGCGGTCAAAGGATCTAGCGTCGGACGCGCGTATGAAGCGCTTGCGGATGCGACGTGCTCTTTCGACCACCGACAACTTCTGCCTTGCCCGCTCCTCCCGTAGACGCCTCTGCCTCAGCTCGCGATGTACAATTGCTACTATGCAGCTTGAAGTTGACAGCTCAAAGCTCTTGTTGTACGCTATTCCGAACCCTTGGGGCCCGCGGCGACTGGAGCTCTCTCAAAAAGTCGAGCGCAGCGAGATTAGCTTGATATCCGTGACGGCATCCGCATATTTCTTGGCTAGTGCTTGAGGGAGGTGCAACACCTTTGAAGACCATCTGGGGAACGGTAGTGCGCCAATGCAAACCTGTGAGTCGAACAGACCCGATGACAGCTCGCCTCGAAACAGTGTGGGCAAGATGCACTGAGTATGGACACGATAGCGCAGGAGGCAGTCAGGGAATCAATGCAACTACGTGGCGGTCTTACAGAAGTACGTGTCGACACCCCATTGACGTGTACCTCTCTAAATGTGCTGCTCGCTACCCAGCCAGGACTACCTACATAAGGTCTCGTTTGCTGCGCAATACCTGTGCCGTCAGCAATCGCCGCCAGCCTGAATGAACGCGCGACCTGGGGACTTGACATCGATGACTTCTCTCTCCAATACGCCCATCTAATGTTGAACACTGGCAGAGCAGCGGCCAGCCGCTGCATTGATGCAGCTTACAGGCTCTTTTCAACTGAAGCGATCTATGTCTCTCTTGTGATTCAAACCACGAGCCCTTGTTCAATCTCGTTCGACCGCTCAAGCTGCTTGCCCAATGCATTCCACGAGATTGGTCCTGTTGCTATCCTCTCTTGTTTTTCTCAGCTGGAACTCTCTGGTGCGTTATCTTCCTTTGCTGAACCGGCCCTCTGTACGATGATCAATCTTGCTTATCTCCATCATTCTGCTGCATTCCTAGCAGCAAATACAAGGAGGACCGCCACATCGATCGGATCCGTGATACAGATATCGGCCTTGTATATGCATGAGCTGAGAATGCGCTGATGGATATGAGTCTCATGTACTCTTCTTTTATGTCATCTGTGCAGTGTTTGCAGCACAACTTCGCTTCTCGGCGGAGATGCGCTGCAGATATCGGCAGGCTGTTCCCTGGGCGTCGGGATGGTCTCCGCCTAGAACCCACGGCGCCCAAATATATCATCACGTGTGAGAGAAAACGGCCTGATGCGGAAAGGGGCGCGGCTCGTTGGCGGATGCCCGCTGTGCGCGGCGGGCACGTTGCATGTGGAGCGCATCATATGATTCCCATATTGGGATCCGTCGGGGAGCGTCGCACCGTCGGGGATTGCCTGTTTGGGTGATCTGCGGCGGGTCCGAACAGCGCAGGCGAGTCAGGCTTGTGCGCAAGCGACGCGCCAATCCGCCTCGTGTCGCGCCGCGCCCGCCTTAAATGCCCGCCATCCCGTCTACGAACAGACAACAATGGCATTCCCGTATCTTTTCGCAACCTACTCGAGCCCGACGGCTACGCCCCAGATGTACTCCTGGGAACTCGACAATGCTCCTATGCGGCTCGCTACCGTGTGTCAACAGCAACATCCGCTGACTCCGATCGCACAGCCGCACCCGCTGACTCCGATCTCGCCGCCATTATATCAACAACTGCAGGAGCCAACGCAACCGCAGGAAGAACAGCAACAGCAGCAGCAACAACAACAGCAATCCGCATACCAGCCGCCGCAGATGATCCACGTCCCAGAGCGCATTCCAACCAACCGGTACCGCTTCGACACCATCACGCAAGAAGAGTTTATGCAGCTCGCGGAGAACGAAGGCCGCGCGTCAGAGCCGCCGAGTTCGCGACGCACGAGCGCAACCCGCTCTGCGCATTCCAGTCCTGGAGCCTCGACCGCGTCGAGCACGCTGCCCATGCGTTCTGCGCCTGGGCAGCATGCTCAGGGAGTCCACCCGTATCGCCGCCCACAATCGGAATCGGCGGCGGGACGTGCGGACCCGCGATTATCGCCTGCAGAGACGGCGGGGATGCGTCCTGCATTGGATACCGAGGCTGGGCCTCGGGCTCGTGCTGCTAATGGCAGCGGGAGAGCAGTGAGCTTACCTGCGGCCGGGTTGGCCGTTTCGTGTCCCGCTGTGAATTTATGGAGAGATAAATTAGTGAGACTACCGAGTATGAGCGGGACGGCAGGGTCCAACAGGTATGTTCTGCGCTCTGAGTACATACATTGACCAGATTTTCATCGTCTGCCTCGCTCGTAAAGCCCGACTGCCGCAACACCCGCCTCGCCCGGATTAGACCTTCAAGGCCTGAGCAACCTCCCTGCTTCACCGCCCTTAGCCCCGCGGCGCTTCAACGTCTGCACAGACATGCAATATGATCCAACGTCGAATGTCCTGCTCGCGATGCTCGAGCTGCCCGGCGTGAAGAAGACCGACGTGCACATCACCCTCGCGACCTGTCCTTACAGCCGTGCAAAGCTGCTTACGGTGTCCGGAACCTCGCGGCAGTTGCTTCCGCCCGACCGTGGACACACCGTGCGCGAGCGCAAGTCTGGTGAGTTCGTGAGGAGCATCGCCGTCCCGCCTGAGACTTCTGTGAGTGTGGTGCTGCTGCTCGCGACGTGGTTTCGTCCCTTGCTGAGTGTGATTTTCGTGCAGATTCAGGATGTTCATGCGATTATGGAAGACGGTATCCTGACTTTGAGAATTCCATGTGGCCGAGCTGTGCATGCAGAACCACCACAGGACGTGCCAATTGCGTGAATAACGAAGGGTGCTATGGACGCTTGTCTCGGTTTTGCTACGCTCTCTCTTGCTTTGGAAGCTGAATCAATGCTGGACTTACTGTGCTGCTTTCCTTCCGTATCTTCTCGTTCGCTGTCCATGTTTTCTTGCTTTCGCTGTGTGCAAAATGCTGCCAACATCTATGACCATGTTCGTCTTCCTTATTCATCTGCGTAGTATATGATCTTGTAGCCTGCTATTTACATACATGTCGCATGATACAAGTTTTTCTTGCCTCGGACAAGTTGTGTTGGCCCCTCATTGTATGACTATCCATCCTCATCTTCCGAAATATAGCCATTGATCTGTACCGATGATAGCACTCAGAATATGTATGAAGTTAGCGCTACCACAGACAATTCAATCAAGAAAACGACTATCACGATTTCTGGAAGCGCAAGGCGAAGGTTTGATAGTACTGAACGCGACGTGTCCGGTGCCCATCTCTAAGGTCGTAAGCAAGATAAAAGTCCGCAGGGTCCAACAAATGATGCTCACGCCTGCTACGCATTATTATTTGTCGTTTTGAGGCTGTTTTGGACCCCGGTTTCAACAGTGGACGCGACGCGCAACGAGGCGAGTCACGTGATCGCGTCTGCAACGAGCACCCGTTCTAACACGGCAGATTTATCAATGTGGAAAATAGTGTGGGAATGTCGGCTGATGTCTTACATTTGCGGCAAAGGTTTGCCAATGTAGCATTTAAATCGCAAATAGTTCACATTCACAGCCAAAGTGGAACATTTACATTTCCAGCATGAAATGCCATAGTTGCAAATATTTGTCACATGTGTAAGAAATCAGTCGACATTCGCACACAATTTCCCACCTTGATAAATTGCGCCATGTCTGCCGTGTAACGTTCAAGTTCCTGTTTCTCCATCCTCATTTCTCTTGATATGTGGCGATACGACTGGCTGCGGTATACTCGTCTGCACTACGTACACTTTAAATGAATTAAAGGAACTGGCTCATGGTAGGTTGCTTGAATTTGGACCGTTTAACACTTCCGAAACCATCATGGGATTTTGTCCTTCAAATCTCTTGTAGATGCCTGCAAATCTATCAATCATGCATCGGACACGCAGAAGGAAAATATGAATTGCATCAAGATTCGCTGGAAGATGGCAAAGGTCAGCTTCTGAATCACATTGTTTCGTCAAATTTGAAGCAAAGCAAGTACGTGTCACCTTATATTCTGACAAGGTTTGTGCCCTTGTGATCGAACAGAGCGCACAGAATTTATGATTCATCCTTGCAGGATTGCTTGGCGATTTCAATCTGATGACACATTCATTCCAATGTATATCTGCTTAGCCATTGTTTCTTGGATGTTTTTCTCATGAAATTGACCAGCTAGGATGGATTATCAAATTTCTAACATCTTAGAACTCATCCCACATGACCGCATTCTGTTTGAGTTGGAACTTACGATATACTGTCTCACGTACGTAAGGTTGAAGTTGCAAGCTCGTTGCAGGAATACGATCTCTACCATCCCATTTGCAGCTTTTTCGATGACTACGGTGCGGGCTGTTATTGCAAACTGCTCTCAAGTCAAAGGTAATGTGTAATTCGAACCAGAGTACTCTCGCAAAACTGATGTATCTTGCCTGCGCTGCGTGTATCTCATATCCACTCCATGCGATGAACTGTCGGGAATGACTAGGATAAAGCCTCGCTGAACAGGTTGTTGCAACTAGCTATGCAATCTAGCCATGCACAGTCACCGCTCGAGGAGCTGAACATATTTCTGTTGTCGATATTCGAGCAGATTATCGACTATCATGCGAACGATCCTCATGTCCTGATGGCATGTAGCCTGACATGTCAGGCACTCATTCCCATGGCCCGAAAGCATCTATTTCACTCTGTTGAGCTGAAAACGGCTCACAACTGCAAATGGTTTCTGGGCATACTGGATGGTTCGAATGCTGCATGCACAAAGATCACCGCCTACATACGCCACCTCTCCCTTTCGCCATCGCGCATATGGAGCACCTTATGGACGAAGGAATGGTTGCCCCGCATTCTACCGCAGTTGATATGGGTAGAGTCTCTCAAGATCCAAGCTGTTCGATGGAAAGAACTTTCAGTTCAGATGCAGACATGCATCCTTTCCATGGATATTCACACTCTCGACATGTACGTGCTGTTCATCCAGCCCAGTGAGCTATTCTGCATGCTTTCTGCATTTCTGCATCTCGGCTCTCTTCTGGTCTCCTATGTGAACATCAGCCAAGATCCCAATGATGCTGCAAAATTTCCGTTCGAAGCGATGGAAGGCGTGGAAAAGGATCCTCTCACTGAGCTGGTTATTGATTGCGACGGGATGTCAGGAGACTATAACTATTCCGTGATGCGCTGGATAGAACATTTTGGTCTCAAGCTTGACATGCGCCAGCTTGTGTTCTGCGATAGCGTGTACACTCTGCAAGAGGAGTTAAAAGTTCACCACGAAGTTGAACAACATGCTTCGCCAAGCAGGAGCATCTCTGGAAATCCTCAAAGTTTGTTTCTCAGAAGGTGAGTGATTTCATTCGTCACTCTATGGGCAAACACACTCATGTTCCATTTAGCCCGTATAGAACAGCTCGATTTTTCTCATAACACAGCACTATCTCATGTGCATATCAGCACTGCTTCCATCACTCTAGTCTCAAGTTTCATCTCTAAATACCTCTCCCAAGTAGGCCCAGGAAAGCTCCGTGAACTCAGAATAGAGACCTGCCTGCAATGCGTTAATGGTGGCCTGAAAGTTGCAGGATCTATTGATTGGAAAGCTCTGGATGATTCATTAGTAGCGGCAAGACACGCGTGTCCCGAGCTTGCCGTGGTCTTCAGTTTTCCCCAGCGTATAGCCAAATCACCATCCCAGTTCCTCGTTGTGGCCCAAGTGATTGCTGAGCACTTGCCCGGTATTCGCAATTGTGGGACACGTCTTGGATGGGCATGTGAACCACCTCATTTGAGAGCTGCTTGGGCTCTCGAAGGCCAAGTGACATGAATATATTAGGTGAGCGGCATCGTCATGCGACTGATGTAATATTCTAATCAGTACATGAATAGCTTGTATACTCACTCGGACACCGCAGTGCTGTAGAAGCTTGAGGTTAGCAAAACATTTTTCGCTTCCCCATATGCGTTTTAACCTGGTAAGGATGCTTGACCTTCATTAAATATCTGATCGCTTCGTTCTGGTATTTTCTTCTGTGACTGATGTGTCACAGATTTTCACGTTTTCACCTCTGCACGTGACCAAGACATCATTTGACATCAGCGCTAGGCTGTTCAGAAAGGAACGAACTGGTACGCAAAGTACTAACAGTCCTAGACGCCCCGAAGGTCCAGGTCTAGTCACGTGACATATCACATAATATTCACACATGTGACAAGTAGCGCTGCTATTAGGTAAGCCTAACTTATACAGTAATATCATCCCACCTAGAAGCAACGGTCGGACTCCGAAAGAATCCAACGCAGGGGATACACACCACCGGAGATATGTCCTTAAGGGGATATTAGTTCACATGCACGAGGTAGATAGATACCACGCCACCGGAGATGTAGCCATTACAGGCAATACCATTCCCATGGTCTTACTAAGTAGTTCGGAGGTTCGGCATGCATGACACACGTAGTCTGACAGGTAGTGGTAACCAATCAGACAATGTCCATTAGCTAGCGGTTCTGGGGTATCAGGGTACCAAGGGTCCCTCCGCTCATGTATATAAGCCAGAGCTCTGAGACGCATAAGTCCCCCAGACTTATTCTCATCTCTGCTACGCCTTTCCATACAGTATTACCAGTGCTCACTTGCAAGGCACTGCTTTACCTTGATTATCTTTGTGTCCATCCCTACGTCGACAACAGTCAGTAAGTGTTTGATCATAAGGTCATAGGCTTAGTCGGCGCTCTGCGTCCTAAGTTTGTGATATGATGTTGAAATTCTCACTGCTTAGTGGATGTGGCATAGTATCGTCTTCTTGCAGTTGTGTGCATTTCATTGACATCGCATGATCGCACTAGATCTCTCAGCTGCAATTTGCTTACTAAGCTTGCCGTTCGACAACGAGTATGCATTTTTGTGTTACCGATCCTGAACGAATTGTGTTGGCCCCTCATTGTATGACTATCTATACCATCTTCCCAAATATAGCCATTCTTTCATACCGGTGACTATTCCAAGCTCACATTTCTGTGGGAACAGCGGTCAAAATGTATGAAGCTACAACAGACAAATTTGTTAAGGAAAATGGCTATGGTGATATTTGGAAGTGCAAGGCGAACATTCGATACTGAGTACAACATGTCTGATGCCCATCTCTAAAGGTCATAACCAAAATAAAAAGTCCACAGGATTCAGTGGAAATGTGAAATGTTCCATGCTCACGTCTGCTACCATTACATTATTTGTCTTTTTGAGGCTGTTTTAGACCCGGATTCCCAGGAGGCGCGACACGTAATGCAGCAAGTCACGTGATCGCATCTGCAGTGAGCGCCCATTTCAACATTCACGTCAAGGCTTTGGCAAGTCCTTGTTATCCGTCCTCATTTCTCTTGACACTCGGCAACTACGAATGGCTACAGTATACTCATCTGAACTACACTTTGAATGACTTAGGGGAACTACAAGACCTTGGAGGCTCGTGAGTCTAGAGAACTCAGTGACTGTGTTCTGTCGGAACTTACGATATATTGACTCACGTATGTAAGACTAAGGTTGCAAACTCGTTGCGGAAATACGATCTCTACTAGCTCATTTGCAGCACTTCGGACGACTGTGCAGGCTGTTATTGCAGACTGCTCTCAACTCTCAAGCTAAAGGTAATGTGCGATTTGAACCAGAGTATTCTTGCAGAACTGACGTACCTTGCCTGTGTTGCATGCATCTCATATCAACTCCATGCGATGAACTGTCAGGAACCAGACAAAGCCTCATCGAACAGTTTTTGAAACTAGATATGCAATCAAGCCGTGCACGGTCACTGCTCGAGGAGGCGAGCGTATTCCCGTTAGAGATATTCGAGTAGATCATCGACTATCATGCGAATGACCCTCACGCTCTGATCGCATGTAGCCTGACATGTCAGGCACTCATCTCCATGGCCCAAAAGCATCTATTTCACTCTGTTGAACTGAAATCGGCTCACGACTGTGAATGGTTTCTGGACATACTGGATGGTTCGAATGCTGCACACACAAAGATCACCGCCCACATACGCCACCTCTCCCTTTCACCATCGCGCGTACGAGACGCCTTATGGATGAACGAATGGTTGCCCTGCATTCGACCGTAATTGATACGGGTAGAGTCTCTCAGGATCTAAGCTGTTCACTGGAAAGACTTTCAGTTCAGATGCAGACATGCATCCTGTCCATGGAAATTCACACTCTTCACATGCATGCGCTGTTCATCCAGCCCAGCGAGCTATACCATGTGCTTTTTGCATTCTTGCATCTCTGCTCTCTCGTGCTCTCCCTTGTTGGCGTCAGTGATGATGCTGTAATTCCTCCAATCGAAGCGATTGAATGCATCGAGAGGTCTCCTCTCACTGAGCTAGTTATTGACACTGAGATGTCAGGAAGCTATACCCACTCCATGACGCGGTGGATAGAACATTTTGGTCTAGAGCTTGACATGCGCCAGCTTGTGTTCTGCGATGGCGTGCATAATCTGCAAGAGGAGCGAAAGTTTACCAGGGCTTGCTTCGCCACTTGCTTCGCCAAGCAGATGCGTTCCTAGAAGTTTTCAAAGTTTCTTTGTCAGAAGGCAAGTGATTTCATTCATCACTCTATGGGCAACCGTACTCATGTTACCATTCAGACCGTATTGAACGGCTCGATCTCTCTCATAACACAGCACTATCTCATGTGCACATGAGCACTGCTTCTGCCAGTCTAGTCTGAGGTCTCATCTCTAAATATCTCTCACAAGTAGGCCCAGGAAAGCTCCGCGAACTCAGACCGAAGACTAGCCTGAAACACAATAATGATGGCCTGAAAGTCACAGGTTTCATTGATTGGAAGGCTCTGGATGATTCGCTAGTAGCGGAAAGACGTGCATGTCCTGAGCTTGCCATGGTCTTCAGTCTCCGCCAGATGTATGCAACAGAATTACCATCCCAGCTCCCCGTTGTGGCTCAAGTGATTGCTGATCACCTGCCTGGTGTTCGTAACTCCGCGACACGTTTTGGGTGAGCACGAGAACTGACTTCGATGGATGGTGGTTGGGCTCTCGAAGGCCAAGTGACATGGTTATTTTAGGTGAGCGGCGTCATCATGCGATTGACGAAATGTTCTAACCAGTACATGAGTAGGTATATAGCTTGTATACTCGCTCGAGCAATGCAGTGCTGTGGAAGCTCGAGGTTCGCGAGACATTTTCCACTTGCCCATATGTGTTGTAACCTGGTACGAATGCTTGACATTCATTGAGTAAATATCCGATCGCTTTGTTACATGTCGAAATTCTCACTGCCTAGTCGATGTGGCATAGTATCGTCTTCTTGCGGCTATGTTACCTTTCATTGACGTGGGTGTCGAGTCACATGATCACACTAGATCTCTCAGCTGCAATTTTCTCACTTAGTTCGCTGTTCAACAATGAATATGTGTTTTTGTATTACCGATTTTGAACGATGACTGCGCTGAAAGTTTGTGATATGCTTGTCGTGAACAGTGTACTCTAAGCATCACCTAAGTGCTGGCACAACTTTCTTGTTTGCCCAAATGTGCCGTTTTAGGTCAAAATTTACTACACGGACGAGCTGCTTACTCCATCAACTCGTCGCAGTCAAGAGCCGAGGTTCATCTCCACTTTGATTCATCCAATCACGTCTGCAGCAGGTCATCGAGTTGATGGTGAATATATATATCACCGCAGACATGAAGCGATTTGCATATGTGGCAAATGCTTAGCAAATGTCGACAGGTTTTTTGCCTTTGTGATCTCAATTTGCTATAGTTCCTTTCCACATTCTGTATTAAGTATTTGCATATAATATGTTGGAGGCAGAAATTTAAAATCATATATTTTAAGCATTTTCAAACTCACCAAATACATTTAGAATTTGAGTGCTGTTGAATGTAATTATACATTTTTGAATTTCAAACTATGACATGTATAAAATATCCAGTAGCAGATGAAGGTGTAATTATGCCTACATTCTACTTCTCTACTGAAGTCATTCTAACCAAGATTACTAGAATGAAAGTCATTCACCATAATAACACCTTCATCTGCTACTGGATATTTTATACATGTGATGGTTTGGAGTTCAAAAATGTATGATTACATTCAACAGCACTCAAATTCTAAATGTATTTGGTGAGTTTGAAAATGCTTAAAATATATGATTTTAAATTTCTGCCTCTAACATATTATATGCAAATACTTAATATGGAATGTGGGAAGGAGCCATAGCAAATTGAGATCACAAAGGCAAAAAACCTGTCGACATTAGCTAAGCATTTGCCACATGTGCAAATCGCTTCATGTCTGCGGTGTATTGCAATCATACCCATATACTTGACTTGATGACACGCCCGCATTGAATGGTCAAAGAACTCTCTGAACTTTTAAATGTAGGTGACATAGAAATGCCTTTCAATGCAACTCTCGATCTTATACTTCAGGTAACGCTACGCCGCCTATTAGCCATGCCGGACCTTCACAGATACCTCATTGGTAAATGTATTTGTACTTAACTTGACTGATTCAAAGGTTGTCCACTGCAGAGAGCCTCCTTCTGAAATCTTTTCCAGTCCGTAGCAAGTCAGGTAGGAGAGTAGGCCGCATGATGCTGCGGCGGAATGGAGATTGAATGAGCTGAAAGCCCGAGCGAGCGAGAGGGGCAAGACGCGCCCACGTGCATTTCATGTGACCGCGTCATTCACAGACAAACTCACAAGTATACAATGCATTGTTCAGAATCGAGCGTCCGGGCTATTTGGAGCACCAGAAATAAAATGTTCCCCCGCGCAACTCGCCTACTCCGTCCCCTCATCCGAGTCACTAGCATCCTTGGCAGCATTCTTAGGCTGCTTAGTTTCCTGCGCAGGCTGCGCCTTGCCCTTCATCGGACGCTTCACCCGTGCGAAGATGCCGACCTCCGGGTCACGGATGAAGTTGATGGTGACCATGGGCCAGGACGGGTGTGACGGGAGCGTGTCGTAGAATTCCGGTGCGAGCGCACGTAGCGCTGGCAGCCGTGTCCATGCGACCGATGGGAAGTCATGGTGTTCGTTATGGTACCCAACCTAGATAATTGCACCAGGTTAACAAACGCTGCGTGAGTGACTGAACAGCACACTGACATTATAAGCGAGGATGTTGAGAGGGCCGTAATACGAGTACGTCTCTTGGAGAAGGCCATCCCACACGTAGTGCTCGGCGATGAAGTGGCCCGCGCACGGGTGCAGGCTCCCCGCAAAGAAGCTTGACGCCAGCAAATATATGAGCGGGCGAACACCGCAAGTCTTGACGAGCACGTAGTCGAAGACGACTTGTACGATCAAGTTGGTGATGTGCCATTGAGTGATACGTTGCGTGCGCACGAAGCCCGGACGTAGGGCATAGAAGAATATCTGGAATGTACTGATGGCAGCGGTCAATGAATATAGTATGAGAAAAAGGTGAACAAACTGACGCGAAGAATACTTTTCCGAGAACGTT